GTCGACTACGTGGGAGTCCAGCGACATAGCCATTACGCTAACTGCTGGTTCCCAAGAACTGTCTCTTTTTAAAGTCATGTTCCTTTGGGTCTTTGTTACTAGTAGGATAATTCAATTTTTTAAGTCTACTTTTTCACTCTTTCTCCTTTTTTAAGGTAAAGTTTTTTTTTTTTTTTTGGAGAGATTTTCACTGTAGGGTGCGTGTGCTCACCAGACAGACAGAGAGAGACATAGAGACAGAAAGCGAGAAATCACCCCCCAGGAGGGATGGTCACGCCGCAATCCCTTCTCCTCCATTCTCCTCTCGGGATCTTGGGCACGCATGCACATGCGCCCGGCGTGAGTTTTAAGCCACCGGGTCCGGGACACGAACCGTGGTCGACCACGTGGGAGTCCAGCGACATAGCCATTACACTAACTGCTGGTTCCCAAGGTAAAGTTTTGAGAGACACAGAGATTGGGAAAGAAAAAGACAGGCACCCCCAACAGTGTCTCCATGCTGCAATCCTCCTCCAGCCTCAGCTAGCCGGAACCACAGGCAGGTATGTGTGCACCTGGCATCCTCAGGGAGGTCCTGGCATGTGAACCCAGGATTTTTCCTATGTGGGCCCAGTTGTGTTACCACTGCACCACTGCCTGGCCTGCATTTAATTTCTTTTTTAATGGCTAGAGACTGCATGCACTCACCAGAGAGGCAGAGAGCAGGAGAGGGAGAAAACACCCTCCGTGGGGCATGGTCATGACACAGTCCCTTTTTCTCTATTTCTCCATCTGGTTGGAATTTTAGGTACATCTGTACATGTGCCCAGTGAAATATTCAGCTCTTAGGGCCAGGATTTGAACAGCTGTCAGCCATGTGGGATCCAGCTCCCTTAACCACAAAGCAGGCCTGAATTTAACTTCTTTTTCTTTTTTTTTAGTAGAGATTTTTGCTATAGGGTGCATGTGCTCACTGAAGAGACAGAGAGACAGAAAGTGAGAAATCACTCCCTAGGGGGGATGGCCATGGGGCAATCCCTTCTCCTCCAGTCTCCTCTTGGGATTTTGGGTGCACATGCACACGCACCTTGCATGAGTTTTAAGCCACTGAGTCCATGACTTGACCTGCAGTTTACTATTTGGGAGTCTGGTCCCCTGAATTTAATTCTTATCTAATATACTTTCTCCACCTGTCTGCCCATCTGCTTGGGCTCTGGTTCTGACTGGCATCTTATTCACCAGTGCACTCAGGTTGAAAACCCTGGGCATGTCTTCATCTCTCCTTCTTTTAACCATTCCTTTCCAATCAGGTCTGCCCCTCCTTCTCATTCCCTCTGCCACTGTCTGGGTACCTTTTAGGGTCCAGTGGCTCCCTAGCTGACCTCTCCATCTATGATCTCTGCCACTTTAGTCCATTTAGACCCCTGGCAGAATACACTTCCTGAAGAATAACTAATCACATCATTACCTTGCTCTCAGCTGTCTGATATTTTGTCTTGTTCATAAAATAGTTCCAAACTCCAGAGCAGAGCATTCAAGGTTCTTTGCCATCTGGTTCAGCCCACTTTTTTTTTTTTTTTGGAGAGGTTTTTGCTATAGGGCATGTGTGCTCATCAGAGAGACAGAGAGAGACAGAGAGACAGAAAGCAAGAAGTTGCCCCCCAGGGGGATAGCCACAGTGCAATCTCTTCCCCTTTATTCTCCTCTTAGGATTTTGGACATGCACACACACATGTCTGGTGTGAGGTTTAAGCCACTGGGTCTGGGACTTGAACCGCAACTGATTATGTATGAGTCCAGTGATGTAACCATTACACCACCTGCTGGTCCTTCAGCCCACATTTTAAGTCTCCTTTCCAGTTCTTTCTCACACATATTCCACTTCAGGCATATGAGGCCTTTCCTTCAACACAGCAAAGCTCTTCCTGCCTCCCTCTGCCCCATCTGGTGAAATGACCTCCTTCCAAT